TAAAATCTTATTCATGCTGGAGAATAACCTTATGAATGTGAAGTATACAATTCAGAAGGCTATTCTCCAGCGTGAATAAGCAATAGCAACGAATTGGTAAATGTTTTTTTCAAAACTGTACATTTATTAGGATACCCTCTGAAACAAGTGAGTATATGTTGCTTAAAATTACAGCAAACATTGTTAAACCTTTCACATAAATAAGATTTGCTGTGATTATTATTTGATCGAAGTCTTTGTCTTGGAGTGACACATTCGATGCCTGATAGGAGATCTGGTGACTCTATGCCGTTCAAAATTTTGTTCATACTGTAGAACGCTCCTATAGATGTGAAGTATGAATGAAATATTTACACCTATAAGGTCGATCTGTAGAATGAATAAGCAAGTGATCTTTTACTAACAACGATTTTGTACATGTCTATTTGGAAATTGAACATTTATTAGGATAACCTGTGAAACGAGTAAGTATGTGTTGTGAGAGCCCTGTTGCACATTTCACATACACGAATAACTTTTATTATCTGTAAACCATGTAAATGTTTTATTGCATGTTTCACATTCGATGCCTGATAGGAGATTTGGTGATTCTATCCCATTCAAAATTTTGTTCATACTGGAGAACGCCCTTATAAGTGTGAAGTATGAATAAAACATTTACACTTATGAGGACGTTCTGTAGAATGAATAAGCAAGTGACAAATTCGATACCTGATAAAAGATCTTGTGATTCTATGCTATTCAAAATCTTATTCATGCTGGAGAATGCCCTTATTAATGTGGAGTATACAATTTATGAGGGCTTTCTCCGGTGTGAATAAGCTATAGCAACGATTTGGTAAATGTTTATTTGGAAATTGTACATTTATTAGGATACTCTCTGAAACAAGTAAGTATATGTTGCTTTAAATTACCGAAGGCATTGCTACACATTTCACATGAATAAGATTTATTTTTTCAATCATATAAATGTTATATTGCATGTTTCACATTTGATGCCTGATCTGTTTGAAAGTTCTTTCATTTCACCTGATATTATTATTCGATTAGGGTTTGCCTTGGAGTGACAAATTCAATGCCTGATAGGAGATCTGGTGATCCTGTATCATTCAAAATCTTATTCATGGTGGAGAAAGACCTTATAAATGTGAAGTATACAATTTGTGAGATCTTTCACCACCATGAATGAGCAATATGGACGATTTGGAAAATGTTTATTTCGAAAATGTACATTTATTAGGATACTCTCTGAAACAAGTAAGCACATTGTCAATCATATAAATATTATATTGCATGTTTTACATTTGATGTTTGATCTGTTTAAAAGTTCTATCAATTTGACTGATATTATTGTTTGATAGAAGTCTTTGTCCTGACGCGTGATAGGAGATCTGGTGATTCTATGCCATTCAAAATCTTATTCATGCTGGAGAATGCCCTTATTAATGTGGAGTATACAATTTATGGGGACGTTCTCCAGTGTGAATAAGCAATAGCGACGATTTGGTAAATGTTTATTTCGAAATTGTACATTTATTAGGATACCCTCTGAAACGAGTAAGTATATGTTGCTTCAAATAACTGCAAGCCCAGTTACACATTTCACATGAATAAGATTATATTATTATTTGATAGAAAGCTTTGTCCTGATGCCTGATAGGAGATCTGGTGAATATGTGCCATTCAAATTCTTATTCATGCTGGAGAATAACCTTATAAATGTGAAATATACAATTTAGAAGGCTATTCTCAAGCGTGAATAAGCAATAGCAACGAATTGGTAAATGTTTTTTTCAAAATTGTACATTTATTAGGATACCCTCTGAAACAAGTGAGTATATGTTGCTTTAAATTACAGCAAACATTGTTAAACCTTTCACATTAATAAGATTTGTTTTGCCAATCATATAAATGTTATATTGCATGTTTCACATTCGGCTGTGATTATTATTTGATCGAAGTCTTTGTTTGGAGTGACACATTCGATGCCTGATAGGAGATCTGGTGACTCTATGTCGTTCAAAATTTTGTTCATACTGGAGAACGCCCTTATAAATGTGAAGTATGAATAAAACATTTACACTTTTGAGGACATTCTGTAGAATGAATAAGCAAGTGACAAATTCGATACCTGATAAAAGATCTTGTGATTCTAGGTCATTCAAAATCTTATTCATGCTGGAGAATGTCCTTATTAATGTGGAGTATACAATTTATGAGGACTTGCTCCGGTGCGAATAAGCTATAGCAACGATTTGGTAAATGTTTATTTGGAAATTGTACATTTATTAGGATACCCTCTGCAACGAATACGTATATGTTGCTTTAAATTGCAGCAAGCATTGTTACACATTTTACATGAATAAGATTATATTATTATTTGATGAAAGTCTTTGTCCTGATGCCTGATACAAGATCTGGTGATTCTATGCCATTCAAAATTCTGTTCATACTGGAGAACGCCCCTATAAATGTGAAGTATGAATAAAACATTTACACTTATGAGGACGTTCTGTAGAATGAATAAGCAAGTGACCAATTCGATGCCTGATAGGGGATCGTATGATTCTATGTCATTCAAAATCTTATGCATACTGGTAAATGCCCTTATAAATGTAAATTATACAATTTATGGAGACATTTACCAGTTTACCAGCAATATCAACGATTTGGTAAATGTTTATTACGTAATTGTACATTTATTAGGATACTCTTCACATGAATAAGATTTGTTTTGTCAATCATATAAATGTTATATTGCATATTTCATATTTGATGCCTGATCTGTTTAAAAGTTCTATCAATTTGCCTGATATTATTATTTGATAAAAATCTTTGTCTTCTAGTGACAAATTCAAAGCCTGATAGGAGATCTGGTGATTCTATGCCATTCAAAATTTTGTTTATACTGGAGAACGCCCTTATAAATGTGAAGTATGAATAAAACATTTACACTTATGAGAACGTTCTGTAGAATGAATAAGCAAGTGACCAATTCGATGCCTGATAGGGGATCTGGTGATCCTGTATCATTCAAAATCTTATTCATGCTGGAGAATGCCCTTATTAATGTGGAGTATACAATTTATGGGGACGTTCTCCAGTGTGAATAAGCAATAGCGACGATTTGGTAAATGTTTATTTTGAAATTGTACATTTATTAGGATACTCTCTGAAACAAGTAAGTGCATTGGCAATCATTTAAATGTTATATTGCATGTTTCAAATTTGATGCCTGATCTGTTCAAAAGTTCTATCAATTCGACTGATATTATTATTTTTTAATAGAAGTCTTTATCTTGGAGTGACAAATTCGATGCCTGATAGGAGATCTTAATCTTATTCATGGTGGAGAAAGACCTTATAAATGTGAAGTATACAATTTATCAGATCTTTCCTCACCATGAATGAGCATTATAGACGATTTGGAAAATGTTTCGAAATATTTCGAAATTGCACATTTAAAAGGATACCCTCTGAAATGAATAAGTATATGTTGCCTCAAATTACTGCAAGCTCTGTTACACATTTCACATAAATGAGATTTTTGCCTACATGATTAACAATATGTGAATCATATAAATGTTTTATTGCATGTTTCACATCTGTACAAATATATTTATTACCATACAATTGTCGAAATTTAATAGAAAATATCTTCTAAGAATCTGAAAAATTTTACAGGATCATCATCATCAGCATTTTTGTAGATTTTTTGCATCTTGAATGTGAATAATTGGATATTAGTATTAAATGAAGATGAATATTTTTAGAAAACATATTAGATGTATTTTATTATTCTGGCACGATTTAATCCATATAGAAATAAATTGCCTTAATGGCAAATAGATTTTGGTAGTTAATATATCATACATTTGATTTAAAATTATAATGTCTATAAGTTATATCTAATTTTGATCTAGATTTATCACCTTATAATAGCTTAATAATAAATATCATCAAGTAGAAAAATTTACCTGAATTGTTTTGCTGAATGTATAAAAATCATCATCAAGTCTTTCAACGTTTTTCATTATGCTGGTAAATGGAAAATAAATGAACATATTTTTTTCTGTGGATGCAATTCCAGTCGTTTAGAGCAAATTCAAGGTGTTTTTTTTTTTACTATTTGTAGATTAAGATTTTTAAGTACATTTAATCTCTTCACTGTTAATTTTATATAGTTGAGTGCAATTAAAGTTTAATATACCTGCAAATATAGATTCGTTGTAATATAATAAATAAAAATATAATATAACAAATTCATGCTTGTTATTAGTTAAATATTAATATTTTTTTACTTTTAAACAATCCTTATGTCAATAAATTTTGATAACGGTCTCAAAACAATATTAAAATAATATCTATAGAAAATCTAAAAAATAATATTAACATACAAATCTGCTTATGATACTAATTATCATGTTTTTAATTACTTCAACTGTAAATAGTTTCAAATTTTCAAATCATAACCTACCTTTAGTGGAACTTCAAAGAATTGTCAACTGAAAAGATTTTGAAGAAGGTAAATTGCTATAATATTTGGCAGAAAGTCTAAAATCGAAATTGATGAAACTTCAACAATTTACAGAGCAAGTGAGTTAAGTACAAATACTTAAATTTCAATTCTAAATAAATATAACCAAACTTTTTGTTTGGGTTTCATTTCATGTTCAATGGTTACAAGGAAATATAAAAATAATATCTGTAAAGGTTCAGAAACTGATAAAAGCATAAGATGTAAGTAGTACTTTTCTTGTATTTCAAATTACCTTTAATTATGATTCAGATTCAAAACTTCAAATCATAACCACCTTTTTGAGAAAATTCATAGAATTGCCAAATGGAATGTTGACTTCTTTTATACTAAAGAACAATTTATCAAACTTGATACACAGTATTTATTTAAATAATTTACATTGAATAAAAAAGGTGAAACTAACAATTTTTGATAGATTCATATTAAACTATTCAGTGATGTATTCATAATGAATGTGCTGTTTTCTAAGCCCTGCCTTTTGGTATTCGATCTTTATTTCCAAGTCTTCTAACTGCTTCACGCAAAAAGCGAGGTTGCAGTGGCCCCGTTTCGCCCATTTCCTCCATTACATCAAGGGCTTCTTCCACAACTTTCCCAGCAAAAGCTTTTGCTATCCCTGACATGGCAATAACAACATTTTGTGATACTGAGCATCCTGTAATAGTTTGCATTAACCTTTTAACAGTTGCATTAGGAAATGTTGATGTCCGGTACATTTCATATCTATTGAGTTGTTCTTCAGTAAAGTTAGAAACTAAATCTTGCATCTTTTCATATTCCTCTTCAAGTTTCCGCTTGCTCTTTAGCTCCATGCGTTTTTCTTCCTCGGCCTCAATTTCTCTTTGTTCCGCTGTCATGTTTTCATCTGACAACTGCGGTAAGATGATATCTGGGCTTTTCATTTTAATTTCTGTATGTTCCTCAGCGAATGTAACATTTTTTTTGGGTATATTGTATACTGTTTCCTCATTGCTATCATCTCTTAGTAAATTTTCTTCGATTGCTAAAGCCGGCTCTATGGTATCTGAATCTTCATCGATGTAATCAGAATTGGCTGTTGAAGTGTTCAAGTCAAATTCAAAGCTGCTGTCGTAGTTAGCTTTATCATCTTCGTTTTGCATTGATGAACTTGTAGGAGCTCGAAATGGCATGATTGACTGCAAAATATAAACCAAAAAACATTTAATTTCCCACATTTTTGTTTTGACTTAATATAATTTATATGATTGAAAACAACAAAGACAATTGTTAGATTGTCTAGGCAAAAGAAAGACTAAAGCTTCCAAGCTAAAGTTCTAAAACTCACTTATATACTTCAAATAAATATTTTTAACTTTGCAATTCAGTTTATATATTTCCTATAAATATTATACAATATCCTTCATTTTAAATTTGATTAAGTTTTGTTTATTTACATTCTGTAAACATACGTATATGAGTTACAGTATTTATAATAATCTATTTGAAAATATTTAATAATCGTCGAATATTTCATTAGGTATGACAAGTTCTATTAATTTGCCTTAATGCACGATGCCATACACCACTAGTTATGTTTATAAATTGGGGTTTATTAAATATCATTATTATAGAATTAACAAAGCCAAAATCAAGTATTTTGTAATAAGAGACTAATGAAAAATCATATTCTTTTACAGTAGATGCAGAACATTGTAACTGCGATTTCCAACCCTTTCTTCTTCAAAGTAATTCCATTACTTTGATGATAGCAAAATTTCTTCCGAAAGAAACTTTACCTTGGTAGAAGGTTATTTTTTTATTATTGCTAAAAGATTTGACAGAAAGTTCACAATCCAAATTGATGGATTTTTACCAATTTATAGACAAAGTAAGTAAAGTACAAATACCAAAGTTATAATTCTGATAAATATACCCAAACTTTTTGTTATTCATGCATGTTCAATATCTACAAATTTTGATTATGATAACAAAAAAATATGTAAATAATATCTATAAAAATTCACTAAGTAATAATAACATATTAAGATGTAAGTAGCGCTATTTATTATATTTCTAATATTATAATTCAGATTCAAAACTTCAAATCATAACCAACCTTTTGTGGAACTTCAAAGAATTGTCAACCGAAACGATTTCTAGCTGTTTTAAACTAAATAAAGACTTTGCAGAATTGTTATATTATACTTGGTGGAAGGTATATTATTGCTATAAGATTTCCACAAATCTTTTATAAAAAATCCACAATCCAAACTGATGAAATGTCGAAAGTTTATAAACCACGTGAGTACCAGTACCAATCCCTAAATCTTAATTCTAAATGAATATAACCAAACTTTTTGTTAGGATTTCATATCATGTTCAAAGCATTTTGATTATGGTTACATTAAAATATAAAAATCATATCTATAAAGTTCAGTGCTATTTCTTATATTTCTAATTACCTTTATTGTGATCCAGATTCAAAATTTCAAATCATAACCAACATTTTGTGAAATTTCAAATAAGTGTCAACTGACAGGATTGTTTGCAGATTTAAATTATACAAAGTCATTGTAGAAGGTATATTACATAGATAAATAAACATATTATATTATTATTGCAAGACTTGACGGAAAGTCCACAAAGCAAATTGATAAAATTTCAACAATTAGACCAAGGGCGAATGTTATGCAAAATAGTTTTCATGTATGCCCAAGAAGTAAAAAAAATATCATTTATAAAATTTATTTGAGGCAGATTTTATTCCTAATATTAACAAAATTATGTATTGCCATACAATTAGATTAATTGTTTAATTTTTTTACAATTATAGGATCAGCAAAAGTTTTGGTATTATAATAATTAATATACTTCACATTTGATCGATGATAATGTGAAGGATTTCAAACAATCTCTACTAATCAACATCAAAGCATTTTCATAGATTTTCTGCATCTTATATTCTATGAATAATTGGATATTTTTTTGCACTAGATGAGGATGTATGTTTTTAGGAAGCAAATCAAAGGTATTTTGTTATTCTGATCATTTTATCTATTTAGAATCAAATTATGTTAATGGCAAATGGATTGTTACATTTAAAGGTAATATATCAAAATGTAACAAATTAAATATAAAATCATATTTTTTAGTTTGGTTTTGCAGAATCTCTACAAATCATTATTAAGAACATCTTATACATGATGAAAATGCTAAATAAATACACATTTGCTATCACTGAATGAATAATTATTTTTTAGAGAGAGAGCAATTTAAAAGTATAAGATTATATAAGATATAATTAAGACTATTTAGTAATCACTTCAAAAACAAATAGTGTTAATGGTAATAAGATTGGTATATCTAAAATTAGTAAACAATATATTAGTTGTTTACTAAAGAAAACAGTAACAAATGTTTTTGTAATAAAAAATTCCAATGTCCTTATAATTTTATCCTTATTATTACAAGATTTGACAGAAAGTCCACAAAGCATATTGATAAAATTAGACCAAGGGTGAGTGTTATGCAAAATAGTTTTTATGTATGCCCAGATATAAAAAAGATATTACTTATAAAATGTATTTGAGGCATATTTTATTCACAGTATTAACAAAAATATTTATTTTTGTTAAAAAAATATTTTTCAATTATAAGATCAGCTAAAGTTTTGGCTTTATAATAATATATTTCACATTTGATCGATGATAATGTTGAGGATTTGAAGTAATCTCTACTAATCAATATCCAAGCATTTTCATAGATTTTCTGCATCTTATATTCTATGAATAATTGGATATTTGTTTGCACTAGGTGAGGATGGATGTTTTTAGGAAGCAATTCAAAGGTATTTTATTCTGATATCATTTTATCTGTCTAGAAACAAATTATTTATTAACATATATGTTAATGGCAAATGGATTGATACATTTGCGATATAATATATCTAAATGTAACAAATTAAATGTAAATTTATATTTTTTAGTTCAGTTTTGCAGAATCTCTACAAATCATTATTAAGACCATTTCATATATCTTTAGCATCTTATACATGATGAAAATGCTAAATAAATACACATTTGCTATCACTGAATACTTATCTTATAGAGAGAGCAATTTAAAAGTCTATTTAATAATCGCTTCAAAAACAAATAGTGTTAATGGTAAGAAGATTGATATATCTAAAGTTAACGTATCATATATTAGTTGTATACTAAAGAAAACAGTAACAAATTGTTTCGTAATAGAGAATTTCAATGTTGTTAAAATTTTTATCCTTATTATTACAAGACTTGACAGAAAGTCCACAAAGCAAATTGATAAAATTTCAAATGCACAAGAAGTAAAAAAAAATCATTTATAAAATTTATTTATTTTATTTACAATATTAAGAAAAATATGTATTATTATACCATTAGGTTAAATGTTTAAATGTTTTCTCAATTCTAGGATCAGCAAAAGTTTTGGCATTATAATAATTAATATACTCTACATTTGATTGATGATAATGTGCGAAATGAATCAACATCAAAGCATTTTCATAGATTTTTTGCATCTTATATTCTATGAATAATTTGATATTTATTTGCACTAGATGAGGATGTATATTTTTAGGAAGCAATTCAAAGGTACTTTATTATTCTGATATCATTTTATCTATTTAGAAACAAATTATGTTAATGGGAAATGGATTTATACATTTAAAGGTAATATATTATATCTAAATGTAAACTTGTACTTTTTAGTTCGATTTTGTAGAATCTCTGCAAATCATTATTGAGACCATTTAATTTATTTTTATCATTTCATGCATGATGAAAATGCTAAATAAATTCACATTTGTTATTACTGAATGAATAATTATATTTTAGAGAGCTATTCGAAGGTATAAGATTATATTAGATTTAATTAAGACTATTTAATCAAATCAAACATCTAAAGATTATCATATCATATAAGTATATCATATATTAGTTGTACACTAAATAAAATAGTAACAAATTGTTTTGTAATAAAGAATTCAAATCTCCCTATAAAGTTTCTTGAACTTTATATTTGATTCAGAATAAAAGAATAATCAAAACAAATTAATATACATTTAACTTGTTTTATGTAAAAATTAAAAGAAATGACACCTATGAAAAAAATGAATGCTAAGTTTTTAAAAAGTTTTAAAAACTTTTTAACATGTTTCAAACTTTTCAGAAATTATCTACATGTTACAAATTGTTAAAACTGTTAAATCTCTTTCTCAAAAAAACGTTACTTTAACTATTTTTAAAACTATTCTAAAAAATCAATTGCAAACAAAATTTTCTAACGAGGCCACTTTATTGTGAATCTGTACCAAATTTTAAATAAATAATATTGAATGAAATATGAAGTAATATTTCGTAATTTGATAATTAATTAAATTATTATAATTATTTATTTAAATTGTTTCATCTGTATTATTTATTGGCACTAGATGAAATAGTTTTTTTTACAAAGCAAATTCAAGGTATTTTTACAACTAAGATCATTTAATTTGTGAACTGTATGAGTTAGAGATGGGCTTATCATATCCGAAGCCGGATCGGTTAGGATTTGACTCCGCTTCAGAGAGGAGTTATATCCACTTAACAATTAATTATTTAAATTGCTTCATCTGTATTATTTATTGGCACTAGATGAAATAGTTTTTTACAAAGCAAATTCAAGGTATTTTTACAACTAAGATCATTTAATGTGTGAACTGTATAAATTAGAGATGTGCTTATCATATCCGAAGCCGGATCAGTTAGGATTTGACTCCGCTTCACAGAGGAGTTATATCCACTTAACAATTAATTATTTAAATTGTTTCATCTGTATTATTTATTGGCATTAGATAAAATTTTTTTTACAAAGCAAATTCAATGCATTTTTACAACTAAGATCATTTAATGTGTGAACTGTATGAATTAGAGATGGCTTATCATATCCGAAGCCGGATCGGTTAGGATTTGACTCCGCTTCAGAGAGAGGTATATCCACTTAACAATTAATTATTTAAAAGATGTAAAAAAGATATCACCTATAAAATGTATTTAAGGCATAATTTATTTACAATATCAACAAAAATATGCATTTTTATTAAAAAATTATTTTTCAATTACAGGATCAGCTAAAGTTTTGGCATTATAATAATATATTTCACATTTGATCAATGATATAATATTGAGGATTTGAAGTAATCTCTACTAATCAACATCAAAGCATTTTCATAGATTTTCTGCATCTTATATTCTATGAATAATTGGATATTTATTTGCACTAGATGAGGATGATGTATGTTTTTAGGAAGAAATTCAAAGGTATTTTATTCTGATATCATTTTATCTGTCTAGAAACAAATTATTTATGAACATATATGTTAATGGCAAATGGATTGATGCATATGCGATATAATATATCTAAATGTAACAAATTAAATGTAAATTTATATTTTTTAGTTCAGTTTTGCAGAATCTCTACAAATCATTATTAAGACCATTTCATATATCTTTAGCATCTTATACATGATGAAAATGCTAAATAAATACACATTTGCTATCACTGAATACTTATCTTATAGAGAGAGCAATTTAAAAGTCTATTTAATAATCGCTTCAAAAACAAATAGTGTTAATGGTAAGAAGATTGATATATCTAAAGTTAACGTATCATATATTAGTTGTATACTAAAGAAAACAGTAACAAATTGTTTCGTAATAGAGAATTTCAATGTTGTTAAAATTTTTATCCTTATTATTACAAGACTTGACAGAAAGTCCACAAAGCAAATTGATAAAATTTCAAATGCACAAGAAGTAAAAAAAAATCATTTATAAAATTTATTTATTTTATTTACAATATTAAGAAAAATATGTATTATTATACCATTAGGTTAAATGTTTAAATGTTTTCTCAATTCTAGGATCAGCAAAAGTTTTGGCATTATAATAATTAATATACTCTACATTTGATTGATGATAATGTGCGAAATGAATCAACATCAAAGCATTTTCATAGATTTTTTGCATCTTATATTCTATGAATAATTTGATATTTATTTGCACTAGATGAGGATGTATATTTTTAGGAAGCAATTCAAAGGTACTTTATTATTCTGATATCATTTTATCTATTTAGAAACAAATTATGTTAATGGGAAATGGATTTATACATTTAAAGGTAATATATTATATCTAAATGTAAACTTGTACTTTTTAGTTCGATTTTGTAGAATCTCTGCAAATCATTATTGAGACCATTTAATTTATTTTTATCAT